GTGTTATGTTTTGAATACAGTGACTTTACATTAAATCTGTGCTCGCAGGAAGGTAATGTGTGTTATGTAAAATGTAAAAAGTTGTATAAAAAAATACCTGGCTTGATAAAATAGTAGGCTAATTCTTCAGTAGACTAGTAGAGTCATTTTGGTTGTGAAGTGCATTAGCAAAAAGCTTTGTCCCTTCATTAGAACAAAATGCAATTTACCACTTGGCTGTCTATTATATCACCCTGTCGCAGGCCCTCCCAGTCATCACCACCTCATAAGATTGCCTGCTGCAGTTGTTTGAGAGATGTCCAGTTTGTAGGTGAACCTGCAGCATTGAGAAGACCAGCAAGGGGGCCCTCATCAGCATCATGCAGACATGCCCTCGCTGTCAGCAACCTTCACCTGTCAGCGGCAACATCTTTCACAGGCTCATCATTTGTACAAATACAGAAGGTAACCCACTTCATTACTTTGATACATTTGATAACCCAATTGTGAAACATAATTTATGTAAACTTACATTATTTGTTGCTTATTTTCTACTTCTTAGATGCATAGAATGTCCAGGGCATAAGCAAGCTTGATGGAACCAGCCTGAGTGCTGTGTTCACCATTCTATTTCACTTCACATTTTATGATATCTGAAGTGAAATATTAAATGTGAATGCAGCGTTCAGGTTGGTTCCACCAGGCTAATCCTAACCACCATTGATAATGAAATCAGTGCTCTCTGTGTGTATGCGCTTGTGTGTGACCGACCAGTATCTTCGATGAGGGGCTAGGAGCTGATCTACTCTGCTATGCCCATCAATGGGGCTCTGGCAAAGACATCACCTTCAGCCAAGGTAGAGACTGGGCTACCTTGGCAAACATGTCAGAGTGGTCATACTCATACCTTCCTGTGTGGTGTCCTGTATACAACAGGAGTTCCTTGATCCTGGTGTTTTCTCCCTCCCCATATTATGTAAAGGGTTGTTTATTCTACATGGACCTGTTACTACATGTGAAAGTTATCAAAATATTTAGTTTAGAATATCTACATAAATTCAGCAATTTCATTCTTCTCATATTACTCTGCAGGCTACTGACCTATTCAAAGCTTCCTCCAGCATCTCACCATACATTTGTCTGTAGTTATTGAACTCAACCTGCAGGAGTTTGTTTGTTGTGATAGAGTGGAGGGAAATAGCTACGGGCAAGGTTCTGAAAGATGGGTTTGTTTTGGTGGTGGCAAGGACACACCCAAGAAACACTCACATCAAACCACATTCCCAAGCCAACTCACGTTTGGTTTCTGTCATGGCCGGCAGCATTTCTTGAAGAACAAGCCAAAAAATGAGGCCAAATTAGCGGGTGCAGTTCTCCTTTAAAACGTACATTTTTCTTTCTGCCTTCAAGAGGGGGGGTCACCATAGAATCAGGAATTAGAATACTAGAATGGACATTAACCTTATGATTGGATAAAGGTCCGCCATTGTGGTCAGGAAGTTGGTCAACCATGGTTTGCCAGTGCTATGATAAGATATTGTTTTTATAACGCATTTAAAGAATGTATCTGCAGTGTATGTTTGTTAGCTAGCTAGCCAACCAGTTTTAGAGGAATGATTCCATAAATGTTTCTAATTAGCTGCCAGTATGCCAACATTCCATTCAAACAATGCAGTCAATCCACAGCCATACACTGGCTGAAATCAGTTGATGATAGGACTTAGACAAGTTGTAAATGCAACAAGTACTGATATTGTATCATATAATAGCACTCACACAGCTTTCCAAGAAAACAAAAAATGCATACAAAGTATATAAACTGTTTACATATATTTTAGAGGCTATTTATACATACAATTTGTATAAAACCCGTATAAACTGTATTTATAATTATATGACAATATTTTAGGTTGACAATAAATCTATTACACCATTTCTGATATCACATGACTTACTTTTATTGTCCTGCATATGTAAAATCAGGATTATGCCTCTACTGCCATTAATTCCAATTACACTGGTATGGATTTCTCACTGGCTGTCATTTTCACCCCATTCTGGAACTTGTAAGGTTTATGACATAGCCTGTCTAGTAATTTAATAGGATCTCAATGGGGGCCACTAAAAAAAATTGCCCGCTTGGTGGGAGTGTCCCACACCTTGCCTCACCTCTTTCTGGAAGTACAGTGTTCTGGTCTGGAGCCAATGGGCCTTCCTCTCTACCTCTATTTATTTCTCCCTTTGTCTCCTTCCCAAGTAATATTATATCACGGCTCAGGAGAAGACCCAGATGCAGACAGTTTCGAAGTAACAAAAGTTTATAACAAAAACAAGGGGGAAGGCAAACGACAGGTCAAGGGCAGGCAGAGGTCAGTAATCTAGAACAGAGTGCAAAAGGTACAGAACGGGAGGCAGGCTCAGGGGCAGGCAGAGGTCAGTAATCCAAGGCTGTGTCAAAAGGTACAGAACGGTAGGCAGGGTCAGGGCAGGCAGAAAGGTCAAAACTGGGAAAACTAGAAAACAGGAACTAGAGGAAAAACAGGAGTACAGGAAAACAGCTGGTAGGCTTGATGAGACAAGACGAACTGGCAACAGACAAACAGAGAACACAGGTATAAATACCCTGGGCATAATGGGGAAGATGGGCGAAACCTGGAGGGGGGTGGAGACAAGCACAAAGATAGGTGAAACAGATCAGGGTGTGACATATTATTGTTCAAGTTGATCCTTAAACATCTTTATAACTTAAAAATGTTTATTTTCTCAACCAAACTACTATACAATGAAAAACAACAATATAGTTTTTTCAGATATCAAGACAGAATCGCTCTTTTGAAAACAGCAAAACGGGGCAAGCAAACTTGATTGAATAATGAGTAAGTCATATTGCCATTTAGATTGACCTACATTGCTGGACGTTATTGCATCACATATACCCACTGTTAACCTTAGATCTGTATTAAATTATTGATACCTCACTGATGTTGTAAAAATAGGTTTTGAGATTATCTGTATTATGTATGCTGCAAGATACAGGGCTAGAATGGTGTTTGCACACTACGGCACTGTGAAGTGGACTGAAAATGTCGCCCTCTGTAGTCTACTACCTGTACTTCTTCTCTGCATGAGGTTTGAACCTGATAGTCACAACGATTCAACAACGGGTAGAGTTAGACCATGAAATAGGGTGGCTCATGTATGATTATTCAAGTTCATAGGCAAGTATGTCTCATAGCCATTGGATTTACTGCAAATAAGCCAAGTAAGCTCAGACCTGTGCTATAGACCTGGGTCAAATACATGTAATATACTTTCAAATATAGAAAGTATTTGAGGTGTGCTTGATTTAGCTCACTCATTCAATTAGACTATTCAGTTGGTTCCATTGTACAGGTCAAACTAAATCAACTACTCAAGTACAGTTGTTATACTGATTGATTGATGATGAATAACTTTTTTGTAGATGTATGCCTGCAAATGAAATGACTTGGCAAAATGCTTCTGTGGCCTCATGAAAGTATGCAAACTCATACCAAAGATAAAGTGAAAAATATGTTTGCATATATGACAGTAAAATGTAGCTTTGCATAAATAACATAGAAACAGTCAAATTCAGACAATATTTATGTAGTTTTTTTATAGTGGTGTATAGCCTTGAAGAAAAAGGCTATAGGTGCAGTGAAATGTGTTGTTTTACAGAGACAGCCATAATAATAATAATATGCCATTTAGCAGACGCTTTTATCCAAAGCAACTTACAGTCATGCGTGCATACATTCATGATCTTTCAGGGAAATTTAGAGGCACTGTTGCAGAGTGCCCACACCCTTAATGGCTCAGGCTAATAGCTTAATGTTCCAATATTCAAACATTTTTACAAAACAAATATGACCACTGGCAAATTCATTTTTTTTACCCCATTCAACCTTCATCATAACAACATTCTCCCAGCTTCTTCTGAGTCAGGACAGTACATAGGATCTTAATTTGACCTATATTGTCACAGCAAAATAATCCTGCAGCAACAGGATTTGAATGTTTAGTCCACAACGTTGCTTGAACAGTGGTTAGGCTATTAGCTGGCCAAAAGTAGGCTACATGAAAAGTGCTGTTAATATAACCGCGTTAGTATGGGTTTTCAGTGAATTTATGGGTTTTTACAAAGCTCATCTGCATTTCCTGCAGTGCAGGAAAATTTTCAGCAACAAAAGAGTGATCGAATTAATCCCAATTCACATAACTGTACTGTGTAGTGTGTTAAATGCTCAAGTAAAAGAAGCAACAAGTACTAACCAACAGCACCTACTCCTGGTAGGTACAATATAGCATTTCTTCATTATTTATTATTCCAGCAACAGAGTAATTCCTTTATCTTCTGCATTGACATCTGATTTCAGAGATTTTTCTTTTCAAGTTTTTCAGTGTTAATCACAGTTGTATACATGTATATGATGTTTTAAGTATACGGTCTTCCATCATCATATGTCCAGTCTTTGTTTATTCTATATACAGTGTATTTAGCTTTATGTCACTGGAAATGATAATAATAGTGACATTATAATAAGGGTTCAATATATGGGCATGTTTATGTGTATTGTACAAATAATGCAGTTACTATTAGCACATATACCATCAAATAAGTATTATATTGGGAATAACAGCTATGGTCTGAGGAGTATAGGCTGATTCAACTATTATGGCTGAATAGGCCCCAAAATAAAATAAATGTTCCCATCATAATAGAAGATTTTAATTTGTCTCACAACACAAAACAACTTCCTGAATTGTCACACATTCAGGCCTTAATAAGACTCAAGAAAACAATTTGAATATATCTTATTAAATTCCAAATTAGATGTATGTGTGACATTTGTATGTTATCACTTTTTCTCTGACCTCAAAAAGGGTGATCACTTTCTGCATTGAAAGCCATAAAGGATTTTCTGAAATGGACTGGCTAGAGGATTTTTGGTCTTGCTTTAATTAGCAAGCAAACTACTTTTCGAACGACCTGCCAGATTCTATATGCTGACTGGCGCAGATAAAACTGAGCTGGCCCTGGACTCTCGTGTTTTGCGTGTGGGTATGGTAACGACACAGCATGAGATGCCAACTGTAGCCTCTGGCAACTCATCGTCCTCAGTCCATTCATTGAGGTCAGGATTATACACCTGGATGCATTTCTTGTATTTCTTCTCAATCTCATTCCAGCCTCCAAGGAGATAGATCTTATTATTCATGCTGACGATACCAGCAGTGCTCACTCCTGTGTTTAGGGGGGCAGAGTAGCTCCATTGCCCATTGTGAGGGTTGAAACACTCAACAGCTAAGACATCCACCCTCTCTCCACGGCCACCCAGCTGGCTGCCACCAATCACGTAAGCCCGGTCTCCGACTGTAGCAGCGGAATGCCAGCCTCTAGGGGAGTTTAAACTGTTCAAATCTTGCCACACATCAGTGGAAGGGTCATAGCTGCACACAGCCCTGGAGTACGCATTGTTGATGTATCCACCGCTAACAAGGATCTTGCCATCAATGATGGAGCTGGCATGGCAGCACCGGGGGATTTCCATGGGGGCTTTCATCTGCCATTGGTTGGAGGAGGGCACGTAGCACTCCATTGAAGCCTGGCATCCATCAGAGTTACGACCTCCAATAGCAAACAAGAGGCCATTGAAGGTGTTGAGACTGAAGTGGGTGCGCTTCTGGATCATGTTGGTCAAATGAATCCAGGTGTTGAATCGAGGATCATACCTAATTGCCAAAAACATGTTATTAGATACATATTATTATTCAATACACAATTGAATGTAAAGTACAATAGCTTGTCATGGTCTGTGTAATATCGGCCATACTTTAAGAGCAGAGCAAATACATTTACAATAGAATAAGCTTATATAGAATCAAATCCTCACCTGCAGAAGTTGCTGACAGCATGTTTAGCCTGGTTCCTAGCATCATTCTGGTCTTCACCACCAGCAACATAAAGGAAGCCATCCAGGACTGCCACACACTGATTGAAGCTCTTGGCTGGCATCTCTGTCAGCCTATTCCATACACTGTCATCATCCCTGTAGAGAACCTCTTTGCTGAGAGACTTCTCTGTCAAGGCCGGTCGTCCACCCACTGTCAGCATGACCCGGAGGCCGCCACGCACCTTTGTTCTGCGGGACTGCAGAATGTTCTGCTGGTAGGGCAACAGGTGGTAATTCATGGCGTCCACTAGGAGACGATGGCACTCGGGGTCCTGCATCATTCTGGGCACACTCTGGACATGGTTGACCAGGTCCATGGCTGAGATGGTGCCGAAGCGGATGTTGGTCAGAAGATCTGGGGCGTATTTCAGCCTCTTCTCGTTAAAGTCCAACCACTTCATGGCCATCTGGAAGGCTGTAATCTCAGAGGGCAACTGCAGGGAATCATCACTGAGGAAGTCGTTGATCTGCTCGTAGGTGAGCTTCAGGAACTGCTCCATCTCAGAGAACTCGATAAAGTTCTCCCTCATGAACTTCTGGGCGGCCTGCTTGGTTTCTTTGAGGTTGTAGGTGTCGGCGATGTTGGCCACATACATGCAGTTCTCTGCGCTGAGCTCCTGCGTGAGGAAATCGCTGCACATTTTCACCAGGGTGTTGATCTGCAACAACATGGCTGCTGCGATGGTGCTGCTAGTGCTGTACAACGACAGGCTTAGTTTCCCTGAGTAGGCGTATGTGATGGCTGTGGCCAAGCCTGTGGGTGAAAGGTCGTTCAGGTCAATCTTCGTGAGGGCGGAATCCTTCTTTAGGATATTCTGAATGTACTCACTGCAGGACGCCATGACAACTTTGTGGACATCGAAGGACGTTGACTTGGTGGAGACTGTCAGGTCACAGAGGAAACTATCCTGCCTCATGGTGCTAAGATCCTCCAAGAGATTAGGACCATAGACAGGGTCAGTGACTTCACTTGAGATGCAGCTGAAGCCGTTTCCTCCCTCCAACAAGGTATTCAGCCCATTGATATTATTGATTGGGCTATCCTCGACCATTATGGTTATTTCATTGATATCCCCTTTGTTCTTTTTGGCAGTCTTGTTCTTTTTGGGTGACATGTCTGCAGCAGAGGGGCACAGCCCAGACCTACTGGAAAGAAAATAAGAATATGTCAGAGAGAGAGAGCAGCCTTTTGATATTAACAATCACAATCACAATACCATATGGTAAATAATACATTTAAGATGAATCTGACTGACTGTACAGTTTACTAAATATTGTCACACAAAATATTGTCAAAATCAAATGTGTAATATAGTAGGTTATAATCATGACCTGTAAATATCAGTAATGCATTTAGGCATGTTATATATGTTTCTGATATGTTGCTGCTGCCATTTGACAATGTATGTCGTCGAATAATTGACAAAGGGGCTGAATAAAGTGTGAATAAGGGAATAAAGTGTCTGTAAAAGGCTGTCTGAATAAAACATAATCATTTGTGTGCATTTATACTGCAATTTTTATATTTTAACAGTTGCAACCAAAGTTCAACATGTTAATGAAAATATAAACAGTTTTGTTTCTGACATTTGGAGAGGATTGTGACAAGGGCATTACATTCCCAAACCACATGAAGGCCTATTCTATCTTGTGGTCTTCTGTAGCTCAACTGGTAGAGCATGGCGCTTGAAACGCCAGGGTAGTGGGTTCGATCCCCGGGACCACCCATACGTAAAAATGTATGCACACATGACTGTAAGTCGCTTTGGATAAAAGCGTCTGCTAAATGGCATATTATTATTATCTTACTTGCATTTTTGGCATTTATATTTGGTAACAATTTAAAGCAATTTTGTTAGACATAATCAACGTCAACATGATTACTATAAACTGCCAACTCCCCAGTAGGTATAGTTGGACTATACCAGAATTATGCTATAGCCCTAGTCAGCAAGTCAACATTCCTCTCTCTGCATCTGTCATGATTTATCAGTACCATTTCCAGGAATAGCAACGCTTGATAGTTCACCCATGACGTTCCAATTATAGACTTTGTGGCATGAGGACCTGGCCTAATATCCTTCTAAAAAGTTCAGTTAATTATTAAGATTTTTTACAAGGAGTCCCAATGATCAACTAATCAATGTAATAATCCACGTGTCCAGAAATGATACATGTAAAATAAACTGAAAATCGAACGAAAAATCCCAAACATTATCGAAAAGGTCAGCAGATCTACAGCCTATAATAATACCAGCCTACAATTAAATAATGAGCCTATAGTAAAAACTTGCCTAGTTATTTGGAAATCTGATGGAAATACACTGACAATGCAACTATGGTTTCAAATTTACACATTAGGCTACTGTATTGTGTCACTGTGCCAAAATCAAACAAAACCTGTTAACACACATATAGGCAAGTTTTTTCATTGACAGACACACAGAAAGACTTTACAAACATAGGAATAATATGGCCTAAACGGGGACTTACTTACCAAAGAGATGAGAAGCCGGTGAAGAAAAGACTTGCACCTCCAGATAGTGTGCAGGAGAGAGAGACTCGCTATACGCAATGGTGCCAGAAGAGCTGGGCAAACTCCTCCTCTGAGCATATGCGAATAGAAGTATTACGGAAGACTCATGAGTTCGGAGACCCTGAAGGCTGAAGCCAAACCCCTAATTAGGCAATCAGACACCGTAACAATAGTGTATTGACTTGTAATATGATAGCTGGGATCACCCTGAATAAGTTTTCATATAGTATAGCCTACATTAAAATCCATCTTTCTGGCTTGATTTCACAGATAAGGCCTAATTGTCAACCTAATTTAATACAGAAATGTAATACCTCAAATAGATATCATGGTTATCTGGTGATTAATTAGACTGGTGTGTCACGACTTCCGCCAAAGTTGGTGCCTACCCTTGTGCGGGCGGCTATCGGCGGTCGTCGTCACCGGCTTTCTAGCTGCCACCAATCTACGTTTCTGTTTTCCATTTGTTTTGTCTGTATTGTACACACCTGGTTCCATCACGTTAATTTGTTTCCCTATTTAACCCTCTGGTTCCCTCATGGTGTTGTGCGTGATTGTTCTTTGTTTGGTGTTGTATTCTGCTGTGAGCTGTTGTATTTCACTGCGTGGAAATTAGATTTGTTGTTTTCCGAGTAAAGTTCGTTATTTACTCAGTTCTGTGTCCTGCGCCTGACTCCGTCCTACCGCTGCACACTGACCCCTGACAGAATCACGCACCACCTATGGAGTCAGCAGGTGCACCCAGTCCTCCGTTACCGGTGGAGGAGCGCATCCAGCAGCACGCAACGATGCTCCACAATCTGGGCACAGCCATGGATTGCGTGCTGCACACCATGGAGCGATGGGAGAGAGAGGGTTTTCCCACAACCCCATCAACTTCAGGTCAACCCACACCACTGTCCACCCCTCCGTCACCTGGACCCAGTGGGATTCGGCTCTTGCTCCCGAAGGCCTATGATGGGACGGCTGCCGGGTGCCAGGGGTTCCTGCTCCAGGTGGAGCTCTACCTGGCGACCGTCCACCCGGCTCCCTCGGGTTACGAGAGAGTGTCCGCCCTCATCTCCTGTTTGTCGGGGAAAGCGCTGGAGTGGGCCGACGCCGAATGGGGAGGAATAGACGCTACGTTGGTTCGCTACGAGGATTTCACCCGCCATTTCCAGGCGGTCTTTGATCATCCGCCTGAGGGGAGAGCGGCAGGGGAACACTTGTTCCATCTCAGACAGGGGAAGAGGAGCGCACAGGACTTCACTCTGGACTTCAGGACCCTGGCTGCCAGTGCGGGATGGAATGAGAGGGCCCTGATCGACCATTACCGGTGTAGTCTACGGGAGGACGTTCGTCGGGAGCTGGCCTGCAGGGACACCACCCTTACACTCGACCAACTGGTGGATTTATCCATCCGGCTGGATAACCTGTTGGCCACCTGCAGACGTCCGGATCAGGGTCCGTCCATTCCATCCCCCAGCACCTCCGACCCTACCCCTATGGAGCTTGGAGGTGCTGCTCTAAGGGTGACCGGAGGGGGGGCCGTTTCCTGCACCAAGTGTGGCCGCAGAGGGCACACTGCTGGTCGGTGCTGGGGAGGTTCCCCAGGGAGTCGAGGCAGCAGGCAGGGCACTGGTGGATCATCCCAGGTGAGTAGGCACCCGACTCACCCAGAGCTGCCTGTTGCGCACATGTATGTCTGTATAAAGTTTCCTGAGTTTTCCCCGCATTCCCAGCATTAGGCGCTAGTAGATTCAGGCGCAGCTAGGAACTTTATTGACCGTGCATTTGCACTTAGATTAGGGATCCCTATTGTTCCTGTTGATGTGCCCTTTCCTGTACATGCCTTAGATCAGGGTTCTTCAATTCCGGTCCTGGAGGGCCGAAACACTTCTGTTTTTTATTTCTACCTGGTAGTTAATTGCACTCACCTGGTGTCCCAGGTCTGAATTAGCCCCTGATTAGAAGGAGAGGATGAAAAACAGAGGTGTTTCGGCCCTCCAGGACCGGAATTGAAGAACCCTGCCTTAGATAGTCGTCCTTTAGGATCGGGCCTGATTAGGGAGGTCACAGCTCCACTATGTATGATAACGCAGGAGGGTCATGAGGAGAGTATTAGCCTCTTCCTGATTGATTCTCCTGCGTTTCCTGTGGTGTTGGGGCTTCCCTGGTTGGCCCATCATGACCCCACTATTTCGTGGCAACAGAGGGCTCTGAAGGGATGGTCACGTCAGTGCTCAGGGAGGTGTGTAGGTGTAACTTCGATGGAAAGTCCAAACCAGGTCTCCCACATGCACATTCCCCCCGAATATGCCGATTTGGCTCTCGCCTTCTGTAAAAAGAAGGCGACTCAATAACCACCCCATCGACGGGGGGATTGTGCGATAAATCTACAGGTAGACGCAGCACTTCCCAGGAGTCACGTGTATCCTCTGTCACAGGAGGAGACGGCGGCTATGGAAACATATGTCTCCGAATCTCTGGGACAGAGATACATTCGGCCTTCCACTTCACCTGCCTCCTCAAGTTTCTTTTTTGTGAAGAAGAAGGATGGAGGTTTACGCCCGTGCATTGACTATCGGGGTATAAATCAGATCACGGTGAAGTACAGTTACCCGTTGCCTAAATTGATTTGCATTTTAATGAGGGAAATAAGTATTTGACCCCCTCTCAATCAGAAAGATTTCTGGCTCCCAGGTGTCTTTTATACAGGTAACGAGCTGAGATTAGGTGCACACTCTTAAAGGGAGTGCTCCTAATCTCAGTTTGTTACCTGTATAAAAGACATCTGTCCACAGAAGCAATCAATCGATCAGATTCCAAACTCTCCACCATGGCCAAGACCAAAGAGCTCTCCAAGGATGTCAGGGACAAGATTGTAGACCTACACAAGGCTGGAATGGGCTACAAGACCATCGCCAAGCAGCTTGGGGAGAAGGTGACAACAGTTGGTGCAATTATTCGCAAATGGAAGAAACACAAAATAACTGTCAATCTCCCTCGGCCTGGGGCTCCATGCAAGATCTCACCTTGTGGAGTTGCAATGATCATGAGAACAGTAAGGAATCAGCCCAGAACTACACGGGAGGATCTTGTCAATGATCTCAAGGCAGCTGGGACCATAGTCACCAAGAAAACAATTGGTAACACACTACGCCGTAAAGGACTGAAATCCTGCAGCGCCCGCAAGGTCCCCCTGCTCAAGAAAGCACATATACAGGCCCGTCTGAAGTTTGCCAATGAACATCTGAATGATTCAGAGGAGAACTGGGTGAAAGTGTTGTGGTCAGATGAGACCAAAATTGAGCTCTTTGGCATCAACTCAACTCGCTGTGTTTGGAGGAGGAGGAATGCTGCCTATGACCCCAAGAACACCATCCCCACCGTCAAACATGGAGGTGGAAACATTATGCTTTGGGGGTGTTTTTCTGCTAAGGGGACAGGACAACTTCATCGCATCAAAGTGACGATGGACGGGGCCATGTACCGTCAAATCTTGGGTGAGAACCTCCTTCCCTCAGCCAGGGCATTGAAAATGGGTCGTGGATGGGTATTCCAGCATGACAATGACCCAAAAAACACGGCCAAGGCAAC